ACATCACAGCACACTTTAAAAGCAGATACAATTGAGAGTAACGTAAAAGCTTCTATACCTTTTGCGTTAGATCCGTCTAAGAGGATTCAAATACTTATAGCTACCCTTTAGTGTTAGATGCACTTTCAATAGTCTTACTAGAGTGACAATTTTGTTATTATTACTATTACTATTATTAATATTATTATTATTGTTATTATTGTTATTGCTATTATTGTTAGTATTATTGTTACTGTCATTATTATTATTGTTATTGTTATCATTTTTATTATTATTGTTATCATTTTTATTATTATTGTTATTATTATTATTATTATTATTATTATTTATTATTATTATTATTATTAATATTATTATTACAGCACTTAATATCAAAGCGGTAATAATAATTCATTTTAGGCCTGCGTAAATTATACCCCCTGATTATTATAACCCAACGTTGATTTTTATGGCCTTCAAAATTGATTACGGAAAGTTACACTTAGTCTTAGCATTCTTAGCACATCATCTCTTAATGGTATCCACTCCACGCATGACTTAACGACATAATCTCGTATTGTAATAGGAAAATCATTTAATGTATTGTGTACCTAAATTGATTTTTTGAGTGAACTAACATCCCGTTTAAATTAAATGATTGTATAATATTATCGACGAGTAGTAAATAATAGTGTTTAAAGATTACATATACTGAAAGAAAGTGAGATTCTGAATTGCATCTTGAGATCTTGACTATAATTCGTGTTTTGTTGCTGCAACAAGCACGCGTCCACGCGTTCGGTAGTTCTAAAGTGTTCAGAAAGTGCACATGGGTCACGCTTTTATCATGTATGTGTGCGTGGTGACAGGACAACCGCACGCTTTAGAACCATTTTGTTCTTAAAGATTAACCAAAGATAACTAAAATCCCGGAGAAGTATTATAATGATAATTTGATTACGTTTCTTTTATCTCCACAGGCTGCAGATCTTCGTGGAAAATCATGTGTTGATGACGCCATAGTAAAGCTTTATAACACCGGAAAGTTCTTTTGTCGAAGAGACGAATGACCAATCGATACCAAGGGCTAAGATCTAAATGAGCAAAATTACGGTGGCTAAAATTACATAAAAAATGAACTGTACTTTGGGTTTATGTTCTTCTAGTTACTTGCTTGAAGAAAATGTTTTGTTCCAAATTCTACAATGATGGACTGTTCTTGAAGTGAACGATATTTCGAATATTGGCGGCCTACATGGGCTAACATTAAATTAAATACAATTTTAAATTTTACAAAATAAATTAAAAAATATTTCTCTCACAAATTAAAGATCTAAGAATTAGTTTTAGAATGTTTACATTAACACAATCTCGTTTTATAAAGGTGATTTGTTTACACTCAGTGAAATTGCTTTGGATGTCCCACGATAATCTGTGATAGGCCTACAAGGAATTAGATTGTTTACCTTTATTATGACAATGAGTTCATAATAATAAATGAAGATGGTCTTTACTCGCTTACACTTTGCTCGCTAACAGCCTATTTACATATAGCGCGACTGTGACAAGCAACAGCGCAAAAAGAATAGTGTAGAATATAATGATAGTCAAATAGGAATATTTTTTGTTTTGAACTGTGGACAGTTCCATGCGACGAGGTACGGTAAATCGTTTAAGAGCTGCAAATATTCTTGAAATGATAACATTTATTTATTTGGTTTATATATCTAAAATAGATTATTGTAGTATGATATTGTGTAAAAAAAAAGAATACAGATTAGTTTGTCAACTAATTTACCTAATTCAATGTCACGTAATATCAAATCCACCAATCTATCTAATCCATATTTGCTATCGAGAGTCACTGCGTCGTGCGAACATTGGCTACGTTCACTGATTGTAACTTTACACGCCAAAAATAGACACGCTACTGTGTCCACATCAGGTAGTTTAACGCGAGAGGGAAAACTACCGGAAGTTAGTGCGAGCCCATAACACCGCACAAGTGAACCTGGAAATGAACTATCTGTGATTTGTTCATGGTGATACCCATATTTGCATAAATTACATATATTTATTTGCTACATAAACGTGATAGTCTGGACAAACATACTAATATTGTGATGTTTCTGATTGGTTATCACAATAGGTCTCGTCAAATGAAGGGGTAAATCTTGAAAATCTCTACTCGAGCTTGGCGTGAGGTTAAGACGTTTATTTTACGTAGAAATTTCAGCGTCGTGACAAGCCTGTAGTAAATTAATACAAGCGTGAACTTAGTTCTATGCCTTTGAGTGTGAAATACACGGCTTACATTCGCGCATGGTGTGAAGCTACATACAAATATTCTGACCAATCATTGACCCCGATCGATCTTCGCTGAGCATACAGATTGCACGAACAAACTGTATATTATACTGCGCATGAGTGAAATAATGTTTTTGTCGATTTGCCTGTATCACAGTCTGTAAATAGGTCCCTTCGGTTGTTATAAATTTAGATTATAAATAATGTATTATTTTAACTAAATACGTATTAAATTAATTAAATTAAATAAATATTTATTGCCATTTACAAAATGATTTTATATCCTTAATTGATCACAATACGAATAGTGGTACTTGACAAATTTAATGGGGAAAGTACTCGTGGCTGCTGGCAAAAACCATTCTGGTCTCTATAGATGTGTTAAATAACAAAATAATAAAACATTACTTGCTATAGGCTATAGTTTAAGTTGAAACGAATGATCAATAACTGCAAATATACGTTAAGCATTATGTGTTGAAACGTCGTTGTACCGTAAATTGAACTTTCGATTTATGCAACGACGACGTAAACCTACAGCAGATTCACTACCCATCCGTGACCGTCTGCGTTTCTCAGCACAACGTAGATCATGGTCGAACCGCGTACCGGTACTTTATATCAGACGTTACAATTTTGTCGCATGTGTGGGCAGTGATGACTTTACGTAACGATATTACGTTCTAGATCCCACCTTCGTCATGCAATCGAAAGCTCCCTAATATATATAGGCCTAATTGAACAAAATGCGTACACATCATGTCTGTCTTACCCCTATTTCACATAGGTACGCAGTAATACCTGCGCAATGCTCTCTAGATTGTTCATTTTAATTTAGACCTAACGCAGGCGCGAATTTATACGCGCAATATTGTTTTTAAATAATTATGGTTACTAAATAGTCTTTAATATACTGGCAATTTTATTTATAATATTGATAACTAAATTATTTGTTAGAAATAATGTGTGTGCATATCTGTTCAAAGTTAAGGACAGTGGATTATATTCGTACAAAGTAGAGTTTAAGTATTTATTTTAAAAAGTCCAACGAACTTTGTGATGATATGTATATAATGTTGAGTATATAAAATGTCACGTGACAGGTGTAAGTTCACACAAAGACATTATTTTTTTAAACGAGGCTTCAAACGATTATGATTATTTAAGTAATGTATTTATTCATTGAAATATTTATGTCGATTGATAATAAACGTTGGAGTGACACTGGTTAATGTTCTTCTGTTTGTCACATTAGCTTTTTCGGTTTGAGAGATGAATTAATGAGAACACTGGCATATCGTCCCGCGGGCCAGTTTCTCTTAAAACATTTTGCTGTATATTAAACCCGCACTTTATACTTGACCTTTTCCACTGCCTGCAAGATTTTTTTCTTTCATTAGACTGTTCATACTGAAAGGTCCACTGATTAATCTCAGATAAGAAAATATAATAAATACTCCAAGTATTGAAATGATGTTAGATGATGTTATAATGACGATTCCAGATGATGGCATAATGACGATTCCTGATGATGACATAATTAATGTCATCAATAAATGTGTATACATCTGGCTCGTGTGCACTTTAAAGGACCCATTGCATCTTTCGGAAGAATACGGTACGGTGTTACCCCGCTGTTATGGTTTATTTCAGTCCCTGTCCTTCTGGAATGATATGAACATGTTTCTACCACGAAGCATTTGTGGCTACTACGTAGTCACGGACCACGCCCATACGGAATTCAGCACAATGACGCTACAAGGACGCTACAAGTTATGGGCTATTCTCCTACCTTTAGGCCTACCTAAATATTGAATCCCAACACGATGTCGTGCATTTCATAACTTGGAGTATGTATTATACTTATCTGTTTCATACTACAACTTTAAAAGATATAAATGAAATATTAAATACATTGAAAAAAATAATAGTCCTAATAGAGCTGTAAAAACGGATGTTCGAAAGAAGAAACAACTATCCAGCGAATAAGACGGTTTGTTTTACTCCATCGAGCCTTCAATTCTGGATCTCAAATATTGATGTTTGATGCTTCGCTTATTCATCGCGTAAAGCTTGGTTTACATACAATCGGTACACGCGCTATCGCTGACAACTTTCGGTGATGCTGATTGGTCGGTAGAATCAGGGAGCCTTCCCGATTGCTGCGGGACTGCTACGCAGTATAACGATTACACTGAAAACTATATATAGCCTGGTTTTCATACAATCGCTACAGGATTTCTACTGCAATCGTTGCACTGCGTAGCTGTCCCCGACACAATCGGGAACGCTGATTCAGCTGGCCAATCGGCGTAGCGTTTAGTGACTTTTATAGAAACCAGGCTTGATTCGAAGTGTTGGCGACAGCGGAAACCATGCTTTTTTAAGCTTCGCTTTAAGAATCGCTACACGCTCTCGCCGACACCTTTCAGTGAAGCTGATTCGGTCAAATCGGAAAGTCTTTTGCGATTGAGTCGCAGACATTAACGATTGCAGTAAAAACAGTGTAGCAATTTTATGGAAAACCAGGTTGAACTACTATACACGTACATAGTTAGCGCAGCGAATTATTATACGCGCCTATGTGATACATCGATTCATGACAGAACCACTTTAAGATGGATATAATAATTCAAGTAAAAAGTTGTCAACAAGAAATTGTATTTTTAGAGTGCTGAACTCATAACACAACCTTAATCTGCAAAGCAGTCGACATCCTCCAATGCACTTAATACCTAGAAAGTTTAGTGATGAAACCAGCATCAAATTAGTGCCGAAATTGGATGACTTATGCTAGTTGCTATTCATGTTTCATTCTTAGATTACGTGCACTTGTTTGCTATTCACCGTTTATCTGTAGCTCGGAGCAAATGCGAATTAAAATAAAAATGATGACGGAGTTGCTAAAGAAGAGACTGTGGTAATTGAATAAAAGCTGAACTGAATACTTTAGTTTTAAATACAATTGTTTTGATTCGACCAAGACGAACGTGAAATAAACTCGTCCTTGAGATTAAAACTACTCACAATGTTGAAAAACAGATCGATATCCAAGGAATGATGCCAGAAAATGAAATAAAAAAGGTGAACTTAAACTGGCAGGTTACATAAATTCCGAATAATATTCTTTGTTACACTATAACTTAAATACTGTATCAGACTTTTATTAACAGTATGTCAACTGTTATCTCTATGATTCCCTTAAAAATATTAGGTCTAATGTATTTTCTTGGCATCTTTAAGATAATTAGATAATTATTTTATTACTTATAGGACGTATATTTAATTTAGTTATCCAAAACGTTAAGGTGGTGGTTTTTAGGTGGTCATAATGATTTCATTCTTTACTTTCATATAAAACACCTCTCCAAGCGCCGTGAACTTACTTTTTATTTATTGAAAATTCCACAATTTGCCAGATAAAGATACGGTTTAACAGGTGGTGTAATTAGATGTAGACCTTACGCGAAATACAGCAGCCAAACACAAACTGACATATATGAGAATAAAATAGGTAAACATTGGTGGCATATAGAAAATTTGTATTCATATATACAAAAACGTTATTAATAACAATCATCTTTACTTAAGCTAAATTGTATTTGAAATAAATAAATTGAATAACAATCTACTGACCTAAATGCACTGGCTTCCATGAGCTAAAAAATTGAAAATATTATTGTTTTAAGTTGTATATTTAAACAAGTCATTGACTTACAATTATAATGAAAAAATGTCCCGCCAATTAAAAGACATTTAATAATACTTCTTTTACATAGACCTTTAAAATTTGTCAGTAATCAATCCAAAGATTGGACTAATTTCCAATGTGTTTCTGGTTTGAAGTTAATAACTTATATTATCTTTTTAATGAGCATTGAAATTTTGAATTGTTTTTGACAGTGTATCTCTCAGTGAAATTAAATCATACTTTTCAAATACAATTATACTTAACTTACAGTCATTACTAGTAACACTATCATTACCAAACTCAATAATAAGATTACAGTTTTTCTGTTTCTTCTCATTTTATATTCATGCTATTATCATTATTATTAAGCCTATTATAATTTATTGCCTTATAATCACCAAAAAGTAATATTATAATGTTAAATATCTGAAATAATAGGCTATTAGGTTGGCCTATTTAAAATTTGTATGTGTCAAAATTGTGATATGCCCATATTTGGGTATAATATGACATCACGCAAAATTTGTCACATAAAATGTGATAGTGGGGACAAAGCAAGACCTCTGAAAATATTGTTTAGTTCATTAAAAACACCTGCGTCATGAGGAGAGAATCTCACAGTGCAGTGTGGATTTAGGTAGGTGATCTGCACCTGATTGCATCGACAAGTGCTCTGTACGGTTTTGGGCATGTCAGCTCTAAAGCTCTGGCAACACTTTGCTGTGACAAAAACGTTTTGTGCCTATATATCGTCATGATGTGCCTATTTAATGGGCATGATGCGATGTCATTATCATCATCATATATTTAGGTATGTTGTCACATGATCATATTTGATAGTCTGACTGGGCTTAAACCAATGATTCATGGTCCAAATTGATCACTAAAACATCGTATTACAATTGCTTTCGTCTAATATCAGATGAAGATCTTTAGATGATTCCTTTCCGTTTCTATTTGTATGTAGAAGAAATGGCTTGGAGGAGGGCGCTCTTGTTGTTCTTTTTCTGATGGCAATGGCTGTAACAATAGCTATAATTATTAGAACGGCTACACCAATACTAACACCAACAGGCAGGATATTATTTTTTGAGTTGTTTCTTTTACTTGCAATACCTGTGGCTGTTGGATCATTTGGCGCACTGGTAGTGGTGACCTCTGGTGGGATTCGCAGTTCCTGTTGAGAAAGACAGTGGTAAGATTTAGGATCATGTCTACATTAACATCAAGATGTAGATTGGTGGTTAAAGATGCTTGCCTTACAATCCCAGGGTTCTGAGTTCAAAAATCAAAATGGATTCTTCCTCACTACTAAAGACACATTTTCACGCAGTAATGTAGACTGGGTTCCAGTCCCTAAACTTTGTCTTAATCAGTTAAAAAGCTGGAAACAAAACTCGCATCAAAAAAGTTTCTCGACATAAACTGACGCTGGTGGCGCTTTCCGAAATGCGCTAATACTACGAAAAATCAATAAAGTACAGGCGCGTGGCAAGTCTAGCATTAATGCGACTTCGCTGATAGAGTATCACACCAGCCGATTTTCTAGGTTACGTTGGAAGGACCACACTCTATAAATTAATAGTTAAACAAATCGAAAGATGAAGCTATGTTTATAAGACTTTGTTATTATATTTTTTATTTTGTTTTATTATATCTTTACTCAGCTGTTACTATATTCGTATATTTATTTTATATATATTTTTATTCTATTTCAACTCAACCAACAGATGATACTGAAAACTATTTTGAAACCAGAGGTCGGATTTATCAAACTACCCTTTTTTTTTGCTTAAGTCAGATCTACCAATATTGACTTATGGTCGAAGTACTTGTATAATAAATATTATATTCTGAGGTAGGTCTTTCCTATATATATAATGTTATGACTCTACTTATAACTTTATTTAATTATATATATATAATATTAAATAATAATAATAGTGGTTTTATATAGCGCACATTTCCATCTAATGTAAGATGCTCAGGGCTTGATATGTGGACTAGGAACTCGATCAATGACTTTCTTCGCCCCTAAGGGTCCCTTCGTGTCTGTGCTACCCTGCAACCCGGTACCAGCAACTCTCGTCGTCCACGTACATAATGCAAGTTACACAGTATATATAAGTGAAAAAATATTTTTGTGAATATTATATATAAAATAATATATATAATAATATATATATATATAATATATATATATATATATATATATATCATATATTTTAAAAGGCAAATGGGAAAAACCCATAAAACAGCAAACGGCCACATAATGCAAATCTATTTAAAATTAAATATAATATATATATATATATATATATATATATATACATAAAGAGAAATAATAAAATTGTAGAAAACCAATGGTCACTTAGTTTAGTCCATTGCCATTTGTTTCTCTTCTGAGCGTTGGAAAAAGCTAATAAATACCTCATTTCTTTCTTTTTTTATGAATTTGAATTTTTAATGATTACAAATGATTTTAAGACAAAATGTATAAAAAGAAAAATAAGGTGAGATCAGTTTTTACCTCATGACTAAGTAGAATGCTTCTGCTACTAATAGCCGACGAGGCCCTGCTTTTAGCTGTCCCATCCTCGTTGATGAATATAGCCGTAACCTTACAGTAAATCTATGAATACACAGAAAAATAAATATGAAAAATGATAATAAAAAACAAAGAGGTAGACTTAGATGTAATAGAAAGCGTTAGATTTTATTGATTTTATATGCAAGACAGTATTTCTCTCTCTCTCTCCCTCTCTCTCTCCCTCCCTCCCTCCCTCCCTCCCTCCTCTCTCTCTCTCTCTGG